GAATTTTCAGCAAATTCTAAATCATTGTAAGATTCCTATTTATTGCCTTTCAATTTGTTCAAGAGGCTTATATCCATTCTGATAGTTCAGCAGGGCTAAGCATTCACTCTTATATCAACTGCAAGGAAGCACAAATTTTACTGATTTCCTTCAAACTTTAAGGTGGGTGGTGGGAGAAGAAGGAAGGGGAATGAAAACTAATTAAGATATGTTAGGTGCATGTACCAACTCCTCATGATGAACGTAATCATTATGTAATATAAACTTGCACTAATAGGCATAAAAATAGAATAAAATATCACTCATTAGCTGATTCTCAGTGAAAAGATGGTGACTATATAGTTAAATGGGGGAAATTACTGGAATACAAACCAGTACACTGAAGTTCCATTCCTGGCCTGATAGTTTGCTACACATACGGTCTTGAAGAAGTGATTTCACAGCTCTTGGCCTTTGTTTAATCGTTTTTTAAATGGGCATAGTTGCAATCATCCTGTCATCTTTATTAAAGATACAGAAAGGATACACGAAGTTGGTGCAAAAGTACTTTGAAAAGTGTAAAGTTCTACAGAAATCAAGGCATAATAACAAAAAGCAATGCCTTGAAGAAGTAGGAATTGGTAGTTGGAGAAAGAAAAAGAAGTAGAAGTGGACAGGGGAAAGCTACAGAGATCATGTATGAAAGAAGAAAAAGCCCTGGAGGAAGGAAGCCCCAGAGAACACTATTCAGTCTGAAGAGTGATGGGTAGGGTAATTAAAGTTACATAAAAGACAGAGGTGGGAGAGGAATTGACAGAGAAAGTTTATGCCAGAATGTTCTTGCATTGGATAATTTTGGGCTGAACTAAGGGCTCACAATCCTGTGTGTTATTGAAGGAGCAGAGAAATATGACCAACACACATAGACTTTCCTTTTATCTCTAAACAGCTAAGGGAGCCAAGAACAGAAGCTGCAAAAATTATTTTACCTCAAGTTTCCAACTTAATTTGTTGCACTATAATAAAACTGCAATGAGTCTTGTAGAGGGGAGGCACAAATATGTATAAGGAAAAGAGATTGGAGGAGGCTGTGTGATCCAAAGATAGATAATATTTATTCATAATTTATTATGTACTAGGCACTATACTAAGTGATGAACTTTCCACCATCTTCCTACAGATAGATGCTTTTATTATCAGTATTTAAATGGACAAGGAAATGGAGATGTAGAAAGTTTAGGTTAAACATGTATGCCAGAAAGGGATGGATCTAGGAATTAAATTTAGGTGATATGACTCCATAACTCCTGTACTTAACCAGTATCATCATCTGTTTCTTCATGTTGGTATTATGCAGATGTGTGCATGTCTGGGAAAATGGTCAAGAAGTAAATCTCTATCTGCACAGAACTATTTTAAGAGCTAATTCTTCTTGCTTTAGAGGAACCATCATTATTAAATCACAGGTTTTTATAGAGACAAGGGGACAGTGAGTCAGGAGGCTGGGACTGCCACCAGCCATCATGTCCAGCCAGGCGGACAATTCTTCATTTCATGATAGCACTGAGCTGAGTTATTCCTGAGCACCAAAGTGATCTGGACAGAAACTTCTGATGAGCAGGATGAGATATTTTTTGAAAAGCAGTTGTATGCCATTTGGAATAAAAGACCTCAAGAGGGTCCAAGGCATTAAGTGGAGGCCATGAAAGTAGTTTCAGGCATATTCTATCTTTCATTCTATATCCTCTGTCAGTTTGAGTCTGGTCAACAGACCTCTGTTAAGTATGCCAGACAGTACCTGAGGAGTTGAGGCCACAGAGGTGATTTAAAGAGCTTCTTTATCTGCAGAAGATTAAAGATGGCAGCAAACTCTTTGCCATGTCTGCAAATCTTGGCTGATGTTGGTGATTTACTTTATCAATAGAACATGACGAGTGGCATAGTGGCCATTTGAGTGTAGTTCAGTAGAAGCCTTGCAGCTCCTGTGCCTCTGAAGCACGCACTCTTGGAGCTCAGGTACCTTGTTGAGGAAATCCCAGGCCCATGAACAGGCATTGCATAGATGGTCTGGTTGGCAGCCTCACTGGACAGCAACCAACACAAACTGCCAACTGTGTAAAAGTGCTATTCGGGGAGTCTTGCTGGTGATCCTGGCTGTGGCCACTGACTGTACCCATGAAAGACCTCAAGGAAGAACCACCGAGCTGAGTCCAGTTCATCTTCAGTGCCGTAAGAGCTGATTAAACAGTTATTTTATTGGGCTTGAGGGGGTTCATTATGCAGCAATTTGTATCCAGAACACTGCCATAAGTCTCTGCCAGAGAATTAGAGGAACAGGTGCTTCCAACATATGTCAAAAATGCCACTGCAGGGCACACAGATGATGCTGTGGAGTTAGACTAGACTGAAAGGAGTCACAAGGGGTCTAGTCTGGGGCTGGTTCTGTGGCTTTTACCTACGTGGTCTCAGCCAGGATTCCATCATCTGGGGAAATCTCTATTTCTTTTGCAATAACAAAACTTTGTTCTATGGATCTTTCATTATCTCTGAGCCTCAGTTTACCCTTCTGTAAAGTTAGGAGCTAGGGAACCCAAGATGGGCTGTGGAGATGGGCTAGAAAGAAAAATAGGAAACCTCCCTCTGTCTCTCTGGGAAGACTTTTCACGGGGTGAAGTGAGCATGGCTCCAAGGTCTGAAGGCCTGGCTGGAATTCTGACTTGTATCTTCCAAGCGGTGAGCCTGCTGTCCTGTGAGCACCAGGCTCCTCATTTGTCAAGTGCTCATAGCTGTGCCCTGAGCACAAGGCAAAGCACCTGACAGCCTTCAGCACTGCCTCCCTCCTGGTCTTTGCTGCATCCCAGTTCTCTTCTGCTGTGACTTCGTGTGACTGAGGAAGCCAGGCTGGGGAGCTGAGGGAGAGGCAGGGCAGCAGCGTAAACATCACAGGGCAGGGAGCCATGTAGTTCACAGCGAAGCACAGCAATATGGAGAACTGGCAGCACCACCCGAGGGCAGGCTGGAAAGGGTTAACGGAGCAGTGGGCCAGCTGGCATCTGCGCTGGCACTCAAGGAGAGAGAGAAAAGGAGCCTCAGTGTCAAGAGAAGGAAGAGAAACAAAACAAAATACCAGAACTTTAGCCAAATTCTCAAGTTCCCAGATGGATAAAGAAGGAAACATCTAGCCAGCTTCATGGGGCAGCCTCTGGCCAGAAAAGACCTTTAGACTCAGGCAAGTCTGTGAGCCCACCTGGACAGCTCGTCTCTGTCCGATGGCTTACTAAAGACCCAGCTTGTCACTGCATCTATGTGGCAACAAAAGGGTGGATTCCCCCCTTTTTATTCATGCCTCTGTCTATTTACCTATCTACCCATCCATCCATCCATGCACGCATCCATCAACCTGTGCACTTTAACAGCAAACATTTATTAAACACCTACAAGGAGCCAGGCACTGTGTACTAGGTAAGTAGGAGTACATACAAGTCAGCGTGACAAAGAGGAATTAGGCAACACGATGTTTGCCTTACAAATCTGTCAAGACTAGATATTGAGGGCAGCTCTAAAATGAGCTGGAAGATGAAGTCTGTGGGTGGAAAAACATTAACATTTACTGATCATTTGTTATGAGTCAGACACTGTTCTATGAGGTTTACAGGGATGCATTATCTCACTTAATCCTCACAATTGACATACAAGTTTGGAGATGTTAGTAGGCCTGGTTGAGAGCTGAGGAAACAGATGCTCAGAGATAAATGACTCGGTCAAGGCTGTACTGTTGGTCTGTGCCTGGATTGTGACTTGGGCTGATTCCATGCTCCGGAAGGGAGCTGGGGCAGGTGCACTTGGCAGAGTTGAGATGAAGGTGCCACGCCAGGTCTCCTCAGGGGAGGGAGGGCGGACGAGTGAATGAAAGTAGCTGGGTGGTAAGGAAGAGGAGAAGCTGGAGGAGAAGTCCAGTGGCAGCTCCATCTGAAGGGTCAACCCAAGCTGAGAAGATGTCCCTCCCTACTCCCGCCCTGTTCTCAGTTTGGGCAGAAAGCATTTCCTATTCCACTCTGAGAACACGCTGGTGAAATACAAATTTTTCTTCTCCTCTGCTTCCTGGCTTGCCTCTTGTACCCATCTGTGCACCACCAGATGGATGGGCTACTGAGGCAGCCGAGAATCAGAACGAGAGAGGAGGGTGCTGGGATTTGGAGGTGGAGGGAGATTCCAGCGCAAGTACACTGAGTGAGTTGCATGTCCTAGTATTTGAAGGAATGGAAAGTTTTTCTTAAAAATCCCACCTACTATTTCCCTCACACTGGGTGGGAAGCGGAGGGCAGTTGCAGGGGCTGGGTCACTTGCAAATTACCCCTCACCGGTTCCCCAGCCAAGCTGGCTTCCTCCCTGCCAGCTATTTTCCTTGTCTGAGGTTGGTTTGCACCTAATATGGAAGGATCTCTTTTAGTCCATAGTTGTTGCTATGGTAGCTTCAGAAGCGGCTGCTGACAGACCTAGAGCAGCCGCTCTCTCCTCTCCCAAACTCTGTTGGCACAGGGCTGAACACGCATGGCGGGAGGACTGGGCAAGTGGCTGTGGATAGTGTATCTGCTATTTTGGGAAACATCTTCACAGTGGGCAGAGTGGTAGCTTTTGATGGTCCTTCAGAGCCTCAGCTCTGGGAATTCTAGCTCATATCCCCATAGTCTGCTCCCAAGCCCACCCCCTCTTGTTTTTGGAACAAAGGCTGAAAATAGCCATCACAAATATTTCGAATGATTTGGTTGGTTAGATTAAAATGCAAACCACTGGTAAGTTTATAAAATAATTTCAAATGAAAGAGTGCTATAAATAAGGGGTAGACCTATTCCCTGCAGGAAGAATGCCTCCCACTATGAAAATGGAAAAGCATTAAGGAAGCACGACCCAGCTCGGCCCTTTCTGTTGGAATTGGTGAGGTGGGAGTGACTGAGACATAAACCTCGCCCCTGAGGAAGGTCTGATCCTGTGAGCAAGAAAGGCAGTGAGTAAGTACTTACCAGATTGGCAAATGTTACGAAGGGAGGGAGTCCCGGTAGTGCATCTTCGCCCATCTCCTCCGGGAGTCAGAAAAAGCTTCTCTGAGGAAAGAGGCGGAAGAGAAAAGTGACGAAGCGAGGTATGTGAACATTTCGTGGTGGATTCCCAGGGAACGTGGTCAGCATATGAGAAGATTCGGAGGGGAATGAGCGCTCGCTGTGTTAGGAGTGATTACGTCTCAGTGTAGCTGCAGTGGAGAAGGAGAGGAAGGAGTAGGAGATACAGTGGTGATGGCGATCCAGCCACAGCCACGGCAGTGGTGGCAGTGGCAGCAGAGGTCGCAGTGGTGACTGCAACAGTTAAAAAGCTTTTGCGGTGTTCCAGGCGTCCTTCTCAATGCTTTCCATGTTTAATTTCTTAAATCCTCACAACAACTTTATTTATGAACTATTATTGTATCCACTTCTGCAAAAGCGGAAACTGAGAAACAAAGAAGTTAAATAACTTCCTGAGATCATCAAGCCAGCCTGTAAAAAGCCTCGGTCTACAGTTCACCCTGGGTCAGCAGGGAGCTGCCCATGTGAGGAGCTGGGGGCCACGAACAGAGCTAAGCAGGAGAAGGACGCCTCTGGGGCGGGGTGGAGGGGGACACGGTGTCTGTGGAAAGTCGCATGGATGGGAGGGAGCCAGGGGGAGGCTGATGTCCATGTTCAGAGGTGAGAGGAGCCAGACTTGGTCGAGTAGAAAAAGAGAGAAATCGGGATCAAAGGACTGCGGGTGGGAGTGGGGGAGCATCTCCAGCCCTGGAGCACCTTCTGGAAAGGATGCTGGCCGTCAGGCTGAGTCCCAATTTCAGATGAGCAGTCCCAGAGCTGGGCTGAGTGTGGAGGCTCAGCAGGGGAACCGGGCCTGTCTCCTCCCTTGGCTTCCTGCCCTGCTTATGTCAAGGCACTCTTCTTTGGGCCTAAGATTTCGAGGAGCTCCCTTTGCTCGCCTGCCTGGCTCCGTTTGTCTCTCTTCCTGGACACACAGCCGCCATCCATTCCTAAAGACGTGGCCCCTCCCACCTCTCCTTGTACCCTTGCTGTCTCTCTTCTCTGACCTTGTGTCTTACAGTCTCTGGGTCTCTGATCTGAAAGATCACCAGAGCTCGCGTATGTATGTATGTATGTATGTATGTATGTATGTATGTATGTATTGCAGTACTGGGGATTGAACGCAGCCCCTTCACACTGAACTACATATCTACCCTTTTTTACATTTTTTATTTAGAGACTGGATCTTGCTAATTTGCCCCAGCTAGGCTTGAATTTGTGATCCTCCTGCCTCAGCCTCCCAAAGTGCTGGGATTACAGCTGTTCTCCAGCACACCAGACCATCAGATCTCTGCCCTGGTCTAGCTTCTGTAAATAGTGGGATCCTTGACTGCCACTCCAACTCCCTGCCTGAACATTTTCATAAATATTACATCACTTAAGGGCTGGGATTTAGCTCAGTGGTTCTGTCGCCTGCCTCGAAAGAGCAAGGTCCTGAGTTGGATCCCCAGTACCAAAAAACAAACAAACATCACTTGACCCCTCATCAGTTGTGTGTGGTCCAAGGACAGGCAGCAGCCTCCTCATCCTCATCCTCTATTGCACATAAGAAGCCGAGACTGAGAACACTGAAGTGATACAGCTGGAAATGCCAAGAAGGATGTAGAAATTTCAAATCTCTTAACTTCCTTCTGGAGGTTTTAACCAAATCTACCAGAAATCAGGTGATGCCCCCAGGAATTAGGCTCAGCATTTTACACGGTTGCCTTTGTGACATTGCCATGATCCCCATTTTACACATGAAGAAACCAAAGCTCAGGGAATGTGTGGCCTGAGGTCTCAGGGCCTGAGCCAACAGCTGGCACCTGGGTCTATCCACTGCCCTCTCAGTCATTGTGATGGCTCATACCTGGATGTCCTCCCAAAGCCTCATGAACTCATAGCTGGGGCTTTTGGGAGGGAACTGGATTCTGGGGGCTTCTAGCTGACTTGCTCTGAGGAGGTGGGGGTCACTGGGAATGTACCCTGGCAGGGCCCGTCTCTCTTCCCAGCTCCTGTCTGATCCCTCTCCGCTTCCTGGCTGCCATGCCGCCAGCTCTTTCCTCTCTGTGATGCCCCTCTGCTTAGGAGCTGCCAACTATGGACTGAAACCTCTACAAGCTGGGAGCCAAAATAAACCCCTCCTTTAAGTTGTGGGTGTTGGGTGTTGTGTCTCCATGACAAGAAAGTGACCAAGACGATCACCGTGCTCTCCTGTCCTGTTCTTGTTTCCATACCAGGCTGCAGCCATTCTGCAAAGTGCCTAGGAAGGGACATGAATTTGCTGAAGGAAGAGAATGTGAGGCCGCTAAAGGAGGGGCTCCTGGAAGAGAAAGCAGGGTGCTGTGGCTTGCTCCTCAAAAGAGTCAGAGCCCTGGTGCCTGAGAGCGGGCGCTCTCACACAGAAACAGGAGCTTCTTTTCTCTTGGATTCACTGCAGGTGCCCTTACCCAAAAAAGGGTCACCTCGCCTCCTGTTCCATGGCAGCCTTTGCATCGTGCTGTTTGGTCCAAGGTAATTCTTTCCTTGCTGGAATCCCCCTCTGACCTTGCAGATGGTTGGTTCTGAGGTCCTGGAGCCAAATCGTTGATGAAGCCAATATAAATGCATGACAGAGCCCAATTGCACATGCTCATTTCCGTGAGAGCTCAGTGGAGCCCATCCACAAAGCCACAGCGAGGCTCCCACTGTCAGGTTAAGGCAAGCACTGAAGGTCAGACCTCCCTGGAAAGCTCCCACCACAGCCATGGGTTACCAGGGCTGCACCTGCCTCACCTTTGGGCAAATAAGTAGGGTAGCTGCACGTTTAGAGCCAGGCCATCCCCCAGGAGTGCTCTGAGATCCAACACTGCCTATGGGACTCTGAGCTTTCCCCCGAAAGAACCCAGGGCCGTAGGAGGAGTCTGGGCTTTGGTACTGTAGGCTCACATCCTGGCTGACACTTTGCGAATGAATCTCCTCTGCTTCTTGGAAACTCAGCTTTCTCATATGCAAATGCAGACAGCCATCCAGCTCAAGGGGTTGCTTTGAGAATTAATTTAAATGACTTATATGAAAATGCCTATTACAATTCACGGAGCAAATTAGGTCCTCACCTTACAATCCCTTTCTTTCTTCACCCTGGGATGTGGGTCTAATAACTGGTCAGGGCTAATCCCAATCTCTTGTGTTTATGAGCTACGTGTTCCTACAGGGAGAGATTTGAAGGAGTCAGGTTTATTAATCTCCATATAACCTGTAGAGTAATTAGAATGTTTATTCTTGGCTCTTTGGGAAGAAGTAACTATAATTACAGGGCCAAATTAAATGCCATTATCTTTATTGTCTCATAATGTTTGTGGGCTCCCTTTGCCAAATTCCTTTAAAAAATTTGAACACTTTTCTTACATCACATCTCTCTTTTAGCATCTAAATGTTGGACTTTGCTGAAGGCTGCTGGTTGAAAGTTCACTGGTGTCTCCTGCATAGGCTTTATGTCTAAAGAGTCTATTTTTGTCACCCGGGGTTGATGCTGCCACCTGTCTTCTAAAAATCCCAGCCTCTCTTCTATGGGGTAGAATGCCTCCTGGGAAGTGGCTGTGAGGCCACAACTCACAGTTTTCAACCCTCTGCTCTTCATTCGGGGGAACCATGTGCCTAGCTTGCTGCAGGGGACATGGGCAGAGGCTATATGTCCCCCTTCTGGCACAAGGTTAACAGGAATAAAGAACCTTCTCCATGGCTGTGTTCACCCCTCTACTGGCTTGATGGGGACACCAGGGAGATGTTGGAAGGCATGAAAATGGTAGAATGTCAATCAGATTAGTCCCTAAAGGGCCTTGTGGAGCCCAGCCCACCTCAGCTGCAGAACAGAGACAGCTGGTAGAATGTACATGTGCAGGATCACTGAGATTGCAGGTTGTATTTGCTGCAGCAGTTTGCTTTACCCTAATGAGTGTACTGCCAGATTCATGTCTCTTCTAGCCATGCCTTGTAGGGGGAAGCAAACGTGTAAATGAATACATTTTAAGACAGGGCAGACAGAGTTAAGATAGAAGTAGGAAGAGAGTGCCCTGGGTGTAGAGCACCGTGAGTGACTGCTCAGAAAATCAGGGGAAGCTTCCTGTAGCAGGGGACCTTTGAGCTGAGACATTAAAGGTGACTAGGAGCTCACCAACAACTGACAGAGAAGGACTGGGAAGATCGTCTGGGGCAAGAGATGCAGCATGAGCAGATACATGGAAATTGAACAAGAGCACTGCACCAGGTTGCCACAAGAGAGCCCAGGTGTGAGGCAGTTCACATTCCAGCCTAACACAAGGGCCAGGGCTTGGCAGGGACCAAATCAGTGGTGTGGAGGACACAGTTCTCCCAGGGCTCATGGGAGAGAGAGGGACTGACAGAGGCCGCTGGGTCAAGGAAGGCTTTCTGGAGCTTTCCCCTACACCACATTGAAGACACTGTAGAAGAGCACCATTTATTAGCTTGTTTTTGTCAAATGAACTTTAGGGTTTTCTCCCTCTCTCCTTAGGAAGCACAGCCTGAATCTGTAGAGGGCAGGATCTGAGGACGACCTTGCAAGCTGTGTGTACAGAGGTTTGAGCCCCCAAGATAACAGGAGTTTCCTCACACAGGAATGTTCTGCCATGACCAGGAGCTTCCCATGAAGCTCAATTTCATCCCCAAATCCCTTGGTTGGAATTATATATGGAGAATGACTCTGCCCCAGGGAAATCTTAAGTGCTAGAAATAGGCTTTAAAAGTTGCTCCAACACCTTTTCTCCCATTCAGCTAGAAATTAAAGACTGTCTCCTGTGAATGAAAAGTTCCTGCAAGCTGGACAGGGCACAAAAGTTACCCCAATAAGGAGTATGGAGAGGGTTCACCCCCAGTTTCACTCTTGATAACCCCAGCCCCAACAAGTTGCAATCTCATGATATCTGCCATTATTTATTTTTATGACATTGATAGCATTGATGATGAGTGAAATGAAAAAAAGAAATCATGGAATCACAAGACTTGGATAATTCACACCCTAGATGACCAGTCCTCAGGTCATTGACACGGGACAGTTTTAATGGCTCCACCCATCTTGTGAGTAACGACTCCAGGTGCCAGCAGGTGAAGGTCTGGGCTCCTCAGCAGGGCAGACGAGTCTCACCTCTCTCCAGCCCCATTGCCATCACTCTCCTCCACATGCACCTGCACACACCTGCAGGCCCAGGTCCTCAGCTATGTACTCTACCTCTTCTCAGCTTTGGAAATGTCTACTCATCCTCTGTGGTGCAGTTAAAATGTCTCCTTGGCGTGTTTTACAGAACTTCCGGACCAGATTTTACGTATTCTTCCTTTGTGGAAAGCACTGTGCTGAGAAAAAAAGAGGAAAGAATCTTGCATTGAAGTACCTAGCTTTGTTTGCTTTGTCTTTTAATTTTAAAAAATTATAGTCGTGATAAAATACACATAAAACTGACCATTTGAACCACTTTGAGGTGTGTCGTTTGGTACTGTTAATTATACCCACAGTGCTGAAGCTTGGATCTTTAGAACTTTTTTCTTCATCTAGCAAAACAGCAACTCTGAGTCCATGAACAATAACTCTCCAGTCCCCTTTCCCCAGCCCTGGGCTACCATTTGTCTGTTCATCCAGTGATGGAAATTTAGTCGCTTCCACCTTTGTCTACTGTGAATAATGCTATTATGAACATGAGTATACAAATATCTCGTTAAGACTTTGCTTTCAATTCTCCTGGATATATATTAGAAGCTGATGATAATTCTTTTTTATTTAATTTCTGAGGAACCCCTTACTGTTACTCATAGTGGCTGCACGATTTTATATTTCTACTAACAGCGCACAAGGACGCCAACTTCTTGGCCAGAATTTTGTTATTTTCTTTTTCTTTTTTAAAGTTACAGTTATTCTGATGAGTGTAAGATGATTGTGGTTTTAATTTGCATTTCTGTAATGATCTGTGATGTTGGACATCTTTTCATGGTTTTTGGCCGGAAGAGTATCTTCTTTGAAGAAATGTCTATTCAAGTTCTTTGCTCATCTTTAAATTGGATTGTTTATTTTGTTGCTGTTGGGTTGTAGCTTTTTTCATGGTTGTTTTTATATATACTAGATATTAATACCTTATCAGGTATTGATTTACAAACATTCTCTCCCAAAATGTTGGGTTTTTTTACTCTGTTGATTGTGAACTTTGGTGCACAGAAGTTTAATTTTTGATGTAGTCCAATTTATCTATTTTCACTTTTATTGCCTGTGTTTTGTGTGTTATATCCAATAAATCATTGCCAAACCCAATGTCATGAAGATTATCGCTGTTTTTTTCTAAAAACTTTATAGTATTTGGTCTTATGTTGACATCCTTGATCCATTTTAGTTTATTTTTATGGGGTATTGTGAAGGGGTCCAACTTCATTCTTTTGCATGTGTTTGTTTTTTCCAGCATCATTTGTTGGTAAAAACATCCTTGCCTTGTTGAATGGTCTCAGTATAGTTTACTGCAATGCATCTGACTGCAAATATGAAGGTTTATTTCAGGATCTTATTCCATTCCATTGGTCTAGATATCTTTCTGTCTACCATTACCATGCTAATGGTGATGCATGCATGGTAATGATTACTGTAACTTTGTAATAAGTTTTGTAATCAGGTAGCATAGGAGTTCTGACCTTATTCTTTTTCAAGATTGCTTTAGTTATTCAGAGCTTCCTGAGAGGCAGGTGCAGCTCCACTGAGCTAAATCTCCAGCTCGAGATTACATATATATTTTCAAATGGACTTTTCCACTTCTGCAGAAATCACCATTGTGACTTTGATAGGGATTATATCTATAGATTGCTTTGCTTAGCACAGGTATCTTAATAATTGTTATGGGATGTATCTAGATATCCCCCTAAAGCCTCATGTGGTCATAGGTGGGGAGTTTCAAAAGTGGCTAAACTGGGGTGTGTGAATGTGGGTTAGGGTCCTATATTGGGATTAAGGGCATAGATAGATAATGGAAACCCCACCCTCAGTGTGGATGGCACCAATCCATAGGCTTGTAGCCTGGACAGTATATAAAGGGACAGAAAGAAGGCAAGCTTGCTGCTGCTGCTGCTGCTGCTACTTGCTGTCTCACTATCTCCTACCTGCTTTGACATGACCCATTTCTCTTCTGAGATGCCCCTGTGCCATGCTACCCTGCCCTGGAGCTAGTCAACTATGGACTGAAACCTCTACAAACTGAGAGTTGAAATAAACCTTTCCTCCTTTAGCTTTTGGTCTTAGGTATTTTGTCTCATCAATGAGAAAAATACCTAAGACAGATGTTGTTACCAGAGAAATGCAGTCATTGTGATGTTACCTGGCTATGTGGTCCAGGAGCCTTTGCAACTGGCTTCCAGGAAGTGCTTGGAAAGGTTTAGAGATGCTGGCTAAAGAAGCAGCCTTGGACTGCTGCAAGCTGAACTTGATGGGAGATTCTAGTCTGAACTCAGAAGAACAGAATGCTGATTGAAATGCAGCCAGTGAAGAGTGGGCTCAGGAGGTTTCAGTTAGGAACAAGGATTGCATTAGCTGTTGGACTCCAGGTCGTATGTGTTATGCTGTGGGAGAAAACTTGTCTGCATTCTCCTCATGTCCAGAAACTTTGCAGGAGACTAAGATTAAGGGCAATAGACTAATTAATCTGGAGGCAAAAATTTCAAGGAAGTCTAATGTTGAGAAGGTGGCATGGCTACTGTTGGGGGCTTTTAGCCAGCTGCATCTTAAGAATCAATAACAAACAGACCAGCAGAATGATTTTAAAAGTTTTGAGTTTGTCCAGAAAGGAAATTCCACTAAAGTTGTGGCCTGCAAAGATGGAGAAGGGGAGAACTTGGTTGCTGAAATGACTGGCTTTAAAGGGCCATGTACTTTGGAACTAAACAATTAAAACAGTGGCCTGAGGGCAACACAAGAACCATGTTTTCAGAATGGTGGCAGCCTAGGCAATTTATTCCTTGGGATTGGGTTCACTGTGTCTAGTACTACAGGCACTTGACTTTTACTGCCAAGAGAGAAGGTAGCCTGGCTATTGTTCCAGCTGGCAGCAGACCTTGGCATCATCAACCTGGTGCTCATTTTAGGTGCATGCAAAATGCAAGAGTTGTGTGGTTAGGAAAGCTTCCAACCCAATTTCAAAAGAAGTCTTAGGAGGCCAGGCCGTGTGCCCCTGAAATGGCAGTGTGTGAAGGTGTGAGTGTGAACCCAAAGGTGCAGTGGCCAAAAAACATGGATTGTCGGAGGAAAGCAGCAAGGAGTGAGCAAAGCTGGTCCAAGAGAGAAGCCATGGGTGCTACAATCAATAGCAGTGCCACAGGGTTGGAGTCTTCCAAGCCCTTTAGAGTTTATATATTGTTACAAATTGCCCAGGAAGTTGGACACGGAACTACGGGATTTAATGTTTGCTCGGGTGGATTTTGGTCTTGCTTTGTTTCCATTCCTTTCTCTCTCCCTGTTTGTACCTTCTGGAATTAAAACTGTTTATCTTGTGTCATTGTATGTTGGAAGTGTTTAACTGTCTTTTCATTTGTGCAGGGGTTCAAATGTAAGAGTTTACCTTAAATCTCAGAGGAGACTCTAGATAGACTTGGACTTCTCAGCAGTGCTGAAACTTTTAAGACTTTGCCAACTTTTACAGATGGACTATGTTTTGCATAAAAGGATGTGCATGAGTCATTTGGGGGCCAGGGGAAGAACGTTATGGCTCATATCTAGATGTCCTCCCAAAGCCTAATGCAGTCATAGGTGGAAAGTTTCAAAAGTGGCTAGAATGGGGTATGTGAAAGTGGATTAAGGGTATGATATTGGGATTAAGGATGTGGATAAGGAAGCCCCACCCTAGGCATGAGTGGCACCAATCAATAGGCTTGTAGCCTGGATGAAATATAAATGGACAGAAAGAAGACAGGCTTGGTGCTGCTGCTTTCCTTTCTCCTCCCTGATTTCATTTGGACTGTTTCTCTTCTGTGATGCCCCTCTGCCATGCCACCCTGCCTTGGAGCCAGCTGACTATGGACTGAATCCTCTACAAATTGAGAGCTGAAATAAACCTTTCCCTCTTTAACTTTGGATGTGAGGCATTTTGTCTTGACAATGATAAAAGTAACTAAGACAATAATCCTGTATTCCAATCCATGAACATGGGATATCTTTTCATTTATTTGTGTCTTGAGGAAGTGTCTCTTTTGAACCACCAACAGAGAATTTATGTATATTATTTTAGATGCCACTCAAATGCCCTCTTGAACGAGTATTCAGAAATAAGTTCCAGGAAAAGTTTTACTTTTATGAGTACTTGGAATGTTCCTTCTTCATTTCTTCTATACATAAAAGAGAAATTAGTTAATTACTTGAGTTTTCTTTTTCTATTTGTTCCTATGTATCATGTAGGTAAATCTTAGTAATTACATAAAATCTGTTAGAATCTAATAATCAAAAAAGCCTGTTTATATTGGTACTTTTCTTCAGGTCTGAAGTTCTTATTGTAATTTATAATTTCTCCAGCCTTAATTTGTTTCTTACTTTATTGTATCCAATCTTATAAGCTGCTTGCAATCCATTGTGAACTGAAATGTGGCTCTAAAAGAAGAATTTTAAGTGAAAGATAAATATTACTATTATCAGCAATTTTATAGATGAGGAAAGTAAAGTCAAGAATGGATTAATAATGTCAAGAGATGACATAGCGCATAAGTGGAAGAATTAGGATTTAAATCTAGATGTCTGATGGTAATGTCCAAGCTTTTGACTCTCCTCTATGCCGATATGACTGGGTCACTCCCTGGCTTAGAGTGAGGAATTGAATGGACACATCTGGCCATAAATAATTCTCATATGGGCTAAGAATGACAAGGACTACAACAGGGAAGTTTGGGGGGTATGGAGAGCTAGGAAAGGTATCTAAGACCTCTGGAAATTGACAGGATATTAAATCCAAAGATCTCAATATATTACATGTAAGTCCATGAAGTAAGAACTTGTGAAGAGGATTCTAGATCTCTAGGAATTGTCTCATTTCTGAATTAAGAAATAGGGAGTACTGTGTGCTGAGTTCTTTTGATGTGCTCATCTAATCCTTGTGAGACTGACTTTTATAGTCTTGTGTTTAGCACCCATTTCTCTAGAAGAATCACCCTTCTCCATTCTGGGTGGTTCAGTAAAGGAGAGCCTCACTCCATTGCATTTCTGGTCATAGTACTGCATCCTGGACCACAGTGGAAGACAGGCTAGACTCAAGTAGGCCAAGTGAAGCCTTTTGAGGACTTTTTCAAAGGATCTTTTATGCAAAACATTCTCTTCCTTTGGTACATAAGCTGGAGGGACTTATGGGTGTTTTTGCTGCTACCAATGAAAAGAGGAAAGAAAGTGATCAACCTGTATGAAGTAAAAGAAGAGAAGAAAAATAACCTAGGCAATATTGTTTGAACGTCTCTATCTCCAGCCAGACCATGTGCTAGGCACACCTTCAATATTGTAGTTGTGAGAGCCAGTAAGTTCTCCTTTCTACTTATTTTAAACTGAATTTCTTCTACCCAAAGACAAAGTATAGTAAAATTGTGGACTGAAGTTTGAGTTTTCTCTCCATCATGTGCTAGTTGGGCATCCTTGAGCAAATCCCTTAATTCTCTGCTCATTTTCCCCTCTTTCGTCCACAGGTTCATAGGATTCTTATGAGGAATGGATGAGAAATTACATGCAAGTCACAGATGAGGGAGCCTGTCATACCTGATGGCCCTAAATACATAAACTTTTACAAATACTCAACAATTGTGTGTGTGTCTGTGTGTGTGTGTGTGTGTGTGTGTGTAGGGGT